ATTATTATTATTATTATTATTATTAAAATGAGCTTTTCCGAGGTTGCACACGCAAACAAGAGATAACTGGGCTCAGCTCAGTTCATTTTTCTGTAGTTCACAATAGCAATAATTGAAAAATCCAGTCATTGCATTATTGAACAATTTCAAATAAAGTACATGAAGGATAGGATAAAAGAATTATCTAAAAATAATTAAAGTACATTTTAAAGGTTTGAGAGTGCCTCTCATGTTCAAACACAAAATCCAAACTGAGTTTGTTCAGTTTTTCAGTATTAAATCATATAATATATTCTCATATTTAATAGGAAGAATTCAAATTAATGTATGATAACATTTTGGCAAAACCGGTGATGATTCAGTGTTTTAGCTTCCACGTCCTGTTATCTTACCTCTGTGCTACTTGATGTAATCGGAGCACTGCCGTGCGTCGCGTGTAAGATCCGACTGAAAGTGTGTATTGTGGGTTAAACTGATTTAATTTGACTTTGGGATGGGAAAATAAATGAATTCTTTTCCTTTTACTATCCATCTAAATTAATCAATTTTGAAATGTAGGACTTGCAACTCCAATGTGAGATTTTAGGTTGGTTCATTTTTAGTTGGGAACAGCACATGAATACTTACCTACGAGTCTTTCTCTCACCGTCTCCCACTTTTCTGTCTGCTCTGCGCTGTCCTATCAGCATCAGTGCCACTGTTTAACAAACTAGAAGTGATATAGTTCTCAGTGAGGTGTGGATTTGTTCCTGTGAAAGGAACAAATCTTGAGTCACAATTTGTCTGTAAGGCATCATGTCGCAGGTATACAGACGGTTTCCTATCTTAAAAAAACTCCTGGAAGACTCCTGGTGTTTGCTTTGTCTTTATTTATAAGCATTTGCCATATTTATTTCTTAAGCATTGATAGGAATGAAGTGTGAATGTGGCTGCTCCTTGGAAAATGAGTTTTGAGAAAACTCACCAAGCATTCCAGATGTTTTTAAAAAAGAAAGACCGTATCACTCCTGTGTTCTCACTTTAATTGTGAGTTGTTCTTTGGATGTGTTATCACATGCTGTATCTTCTTAAAATAAAGCGTTGTTTTCCCATGGTTGCATATTCAGCCTTGGTATTCATTCTTCTTGTTCAAAAGAACCACATGTGCATTTCAAGCCATAACAATTAAATCACATGCGTTTTGGGATTTGAGATCAAAAGAGAAGCAGTAGTTGAAAAAAAGGGAAATATTGGCCTCCTTCAATGGTTGTTTGTTCCAGTCCCAAACACCAGAGAGTAACACGGAGCATTGCCCAGGCTTTGTTCTGAGCCTTGCTGGATGCCGATTAGCCATGCTCACATTGGCCATGTGGCTCTGTGCCTCTGCCTTCAGAGTCGCACAGTGGAAGCGGGTCTGAATGCTCAGAACACTGCGCTTTATCAACATCAGAAATGAAACGACAAAATCAACACAAATAATAAATGTGGTAATCCTAAAAAATGCTTTTTATTTTTTGGATTATGCAATATCTCTTGTCAGAGCAGATTGGAAAGGATTGGACAGCCTGGCCGCTGGCAGAGAGTCAGCAGGGTGCTTTTGGTTTGTATGGATGCTAGAAAAACTGAAAGCCATTCATCACAGAGGATACCTGTAAAGGATCTGAATCTGGCACGCCAGTGACATATTTTTTCAGTTACATGTCTTTAAGTCACAATTTGCAACTCCTTACCTTTCCACGGTCCCGGTCAGCTTGTCACAACACGATCTGTGTCACTTTACACATGTGCAAAAATGGACATACTTCCTGTCACCAATACAGTTAAGAAAGAAAAATGTAAATGTGTAAATGTATACAGTATTTGCAATTGTTTCTACAAAAAGGTCCTCTTTGACCTTTCCAAATGTTGACGTTGATTTCTTCTAATGGCGTACACGCACTTTTTTCCCTTTATTTATTTTTTAAATTACTTTACGCCTCAGTTTTCACGAGCCTAAAGACCAATCACTGGCCACGAGCAACCACTGGATAGCAAGTGATTGCTGCGAGTCACTAGATGAAATTGGTCACGAAGAGGAGTTTCTGTGGTTGTTAGCAGGTTTCCACAGTCACCTGTAGTTTTCATGTCAGATGCCAGCTAGTCTTCAAGCACTTGCTAACTATTAGCTGAACAGCAGTAAACCTAACATTGAAAACGTCCACCTTCATTGGCACTTGGCTAAATCCTCCAATACAATTTGCTGTATTTGCAGTGGGATTGTGCTATACTGATAATAGCAGTTAAAGTGAACCCAAATCAGCAGGTCAGAAGTCCAAAAGAGAATGAATTCTAAGGCAGAGTCATGTGATACTATGGTGTGGTTTCGGTGCTATGAGGAAATATTATCCTGTCACACGCAGTCCATGATGTATGTATTCAGGTGCAGCTTTAACCTCAGTGTCTATTTCAGACTAACTCTTCTTCATCTGTCTCAGGATGCCAAGTTTGTGGAGGAAAGAAGGAAGCAGCTGCAGGGCTACCTTCGCACGGTGATGAACAAACTGATCCAGACGCTGCCAGAGTTCACAGCCAGCCCCACCAAAGAGACGCTGCTGTCGCTGCTGCCTTTCTGTCAGTAAGTGGTCACACATAAGCTCCTGAAAAACAGAATATTAGCTTAAATATATGACATGCAGTTGTGTGCGTAGGTGCAACAGATTCAGGTAACAGCTTCTAGCACATGTTCAGATCGTGTCTGTTAAAGGTTGGCGTCGTCTTATAGAAACTTCCAAGAGATATTTTGCCAGAAATTTCTAAGAATGAACTCTCACCTAATTTGAGTGGGAGTAATGTAAATAATTTTCTAGTTTCCTTTATATAACATCTATCATCAAATGCAGGTGTTAGCTTTTTGTCTACAGGAAGCTCAAATATAGTCCCCATGGTTACCTATTTAAAGGTTTTGTTTAACCACTGTTTGCATACACAACATCTAAAAAGAAAAAATAACAGCTTCCTGGCATTTGTCTCTGTTTATTATATCATTGTAATATACAACATTTTGTAGGAAGCGTTAACTGTCACTAGTGTTGTGTGAAGAGTTTGCACAGGATACAAGCGAGCAGACAGAATCCTGGAAGTCTCTGGAAAACAAACTTTCCCT